GAAGCAGAGACAGGACACCTGACCCAAACTAACCAAAGTGGTATTCCATACCACAGCACGTCATGCCTGCTATATAAACTGGGGGCAGTTACCCAGAAGGGTGAGATCACTGCTCAGGTCAGGCTGGGTATTGGTCGGTGGGTGATGAGTGGTTGTATTCTCTTCCCTTGTTATTTCCTTTATCATTATTATTATTGGTCGTAGCAGCAGTGATTTGTGTTATACCTTAGTTACTAAACTGTTCTTATCTCAACCCATGGGAGTTACATTCTTTCGACAATGGGATAACCAGTTTTCATCAACTGCTTTTCTGGACAGATGTATCCTGCAGAATTTCAGACACACAAGTGTTAGCATACATTTCTGGGAAAAAAAAACCCAAACAACCTACTTTGCTGTCATTTGGATGTTGTTACTTCAAGTTCTATAGCACTACATCCCACTGTCATACTAATACAGTCCAAGAAAAGGTATACTAAATATAATGAGCGTACATGCATAACTTGCTTTTCAGATCCCTTTAACTTATTTATCACTGGCTGTTAAATGTCTTTCTAAGTGGGAATATAAGAAATAGGTTGGAGACAGGAAAATAGAAACCTAATTTCCAGCAGTAAAGCTTAGGAATGGCAAATGATGTCATTGTTACTGTATTTCTTTGTCAATAAGATTAAACTACATTATTGTGTTTTATCTTCTTTCCGTCATGTTTATTTTTTCCTATGTGTTTCACAGCAGAGAGTGCTAGTGATGCTATTTCCTGGGAGATGTCTGCAGTTATTAGTTTGGACATTAAACACCATCTTTAACTTTGCAATTAAAACCAGGTACAAGTGAGGCTGTGCATGAATAAAATGTTCCTGTGGTAATATGCACAAAAATGTCCATACTACAGTCAGTCTCTTTCAGCTAAATTGATTCAGTTTGTATTAAACATCATATTGCTGTGGATACTTATCAACAAATATTTTTAGACAGCATTTTTATTGTGAGCATCAAAAAAAATGAGCCAAATTTTCTGATGGTCAAGTTGGAAGAATTCTGTGGTTTGCTGGGATATTCCCCCCCCCCCCCCCCCGAAATGTTTTCCTTCAAAAAACTCTGTTCAAGCACAATATTTTCTCAGGAGAAAAAAAAAAACTATTTTTTTAAGAAGACAATAGTTTGTTGTTTGACTTACTCTTTGCTCTGAAACGTAAGATAACTGTATTCATGCACATGCAGAAACATGTATAGTGTGCTGTGAGCTGGAAAACAAACCATTTTGATTAACTCGGTCTGAAATCTAAAAATACAGTTTTCAGTTAATAAAACATTTATGATTGCTACTTTTTCCTCTTATAAACCTTCAAGGTTCTTTTAAGATAAGACAACACTAGTATATATAGGTTTTATATCAAATTATACAATTCATTTGGTGCTTGGTGCTTTGGCAGATTTACTGGTATGTATTAGCTAATTATTTTAATCAGCTGGTCAATGAGATTTCATAATTGTAGTGGTGTATACATTTTAGGCTAATGACTGCTAAAATGACTTAAAGCTGTGTTATTATGTGAAAAACTTGGAAATAAGTGACAGATCTGATGGGTATCTAAAATGGTTCCAATACTTTGCTTCCCAGTGTTTTGGAGGCTGGTTTACAGATATTATCTTATTTTGAACGTACAGTGCTGTATTCAAGGAATGGGTCTGCTCAATTTGTAATACATATATATGCATGCATATAAAAAAATATACTGAGCATATTGGTGTAAGTCATTGTAGTTTTACAAAAGAAAATTAATCTTTTTTTTTTTTTTTTAAGTCTGTTGCTTTTTTTATGTATGTTACCCATACATGGAGCAGTTTTGGCAAGACTTTGTCAAAAATTCTCAGGAATTCATATTTGAATGTCACCTTTCTGCTTCTAACTGTTCAGTGAAACTGATAATTTAAATAAACAAGTGATTTTTTTGTATTTTTCTGTACACATACACTATACACAATCAAAGGCCAGCTAAGCCCCACTGTCATATTAATTATTTCAAAGTCTACAGAAAATCCTCACAACATTTTCAGCTTCTAAGGAACCAACAATAAAAATATATTCTACAAGTACAAACTTAGTCCTCTGAACCTTTACTCATATAGGCCGTTCTGTCAAAGCTAAAGAAAGCATTCATATGATTGAGGTTGTGTGGGGCCAGGACTCAAGGAGGTAGAGTTTTGGGATGATCAGAAGAATAAATATATATGGTGAGGTGAAAAACATTCTAAAACCAGAGGCAGCCTCACAGTCTTCGTGAATCTGTGCCATAAAGTGACACTGATGATTAGCAGGCTCAAAAGCTAAAAAAGCCCTCCTATATTTGTATAGCACTGTAATGTATTTTGGCTTCATAATAACAAACTAATGAGCACCTTGACTCATAGGTTTGAAATCTGAGACAATGTTATAACTTTGTTACAGTGTCAGATTAGATGTTACAAAATACTCCTTTGTGGTAGACAGTTGCAGCTGTGGGTTTTCATTCCTTTCGAAAATTATGTGCAGGTGATGGGTGCTTAGAAATTAAGGAATAAAAGAGGCTCGGAAAAAAACAAAGTCTGAGAAATTTGCCAATCATGCTGTAGGAAACTGGCAGCAGCACGAGGACTTTTAAGATGTAAGTTTTCAAAGTCTAGAGAGGCATCATAACAAGACAGTCATTGCTCTTCTCCACTCCTCTGTTTTGTTTTTCACTTCCTGTATGGTATAATAGGCCCGTTTTGCCACTGTGGTCGGTAGCACTCCCTGTTTGTTACACACCATGGGATCTATTATTTTATCCATGGCAGGTAATCATCTAGGCCATGTCTGTACAAGAAAATGTTGAACTGGTTTCAAAAGAATGATTATAAGCCAGATGCACTTAAAACAGTTTGCCACCTCCTTAAGTTGTTTTTGTAATTTACAAAATTCAGCTCAACTGATTGAAGAGATGATAAAGTCAATTTAAGTCACACAGTTTAGGGAGCTGCACCTGCAGCTTTTCCCTCTAGACAAGGTCTTGCCTTGTAAGTAGGAGGATCAATGGCAGGTTAATGCAATTGGCAATGTAAGAAGCTGGAAAAAAAACAGACTTGTTATTATTTGTGCGTGCTATTTTGTAAACTATTCAGGCACAGATTTTTTCTTGGTAGATATCTCTAAAGTGACAGCTAACACTCTACTAAAATTAATACTAATAATGTAGATAATGATGTGCTAAATTGTTTTCAATATAGTTATTCCAATTTCACAGGAGTGGAGTATTGAACTGAGTTTGCTCCATCAAGACAAATACAGCTAACTAGAGCAGTGGGCCACTTTGTGCCTTAAGCTGTACACACTTGTTCGTATGGGAACCTCATGCTTGTAACCAAAGGAGAGATAAAAAGATAGATTACAGAATGAGGAGAATGCATTGCTTTGTTTAAATTTACAGTTTGCATGCTACTTGTTTTCCTTGGCATACGTCATTTGCTATATAACCTAATAAATAAGTAAAGGTACTGATTGTTTAAAGCATGCTGAATGATGACCTGAACTAGCAAATTTGCCTTGATGGAAAACTCTTACTTAGAGAAATAGAACTTTTATTCATCAGTGTAAGATCAGCTCATTTGCTGTGGATGAAGGTTTTGATTCTTCGCTCTTACATGATACAAGGAAAATTGAATCCATGCAAAGCAATGCAGTGATTTGTTCATTGACTGAGTTTGGATTTTTCTACATGTTGGCCCATTTCTAACACAATACCTTAAAATAACAGGGAGGAAAAAGTGGCACTTTTTCTCCTTGGCTATTTGCTGTTTCCTGTCCAGCAGTCAGAGGAGCAATGGCTCTAGAGGTGCAGTGCCACATACATCAAGAATTTATTCTGCTGATATTAAGAGGCAGAGTGGCAAGTACGGTATTAGTTTCTGCTGTGTTGCTGAATAAACTGTAGAAAGTGGTTTGCAGTGTAGAATACATATCCTCCTGAAACTTATTTCCCCTCACAGCATGTGCCTCTGCTTTCAGCAAAAAGTGAGTTATGCTATAGTAGCAATAAACGGGAAAGAGTTGTCGGATTTTAAAGGTGCTTAGGCAGCTGAAGAGGTAGGTAGATGACTAATAGGATTTAGGATCCAAGCTTGGGAAACCTAAGTATCTTTAAAAGTCTCACAGAGAATTCTCACTGAAAATCTTTAATTTTCCCACTGTGCTTAACCAGTGATAACCTACCATCACACTATTATTTTAATTAGTAAATTCTTATGCTCTGGAAGGACTTGTTTGGCAGGTATTTCTAATAATTCCAAAGGTATTTCTGTTTTCCACAGAAATTACTCTACGTTCTATAGACAAAAGATAATGCTCTAGGGATATGGACCTCTTGTGTAGCTAGCATGGGATGATTTCTGCAAGTGTTGCTTTACCTGTGACATACATCTCTTCAACAGTAAGCTACGGTTTATGCCATGAATTAAGGGGCAGTAGGTGAAAGCCGGTGTAGGTGACCCTCCAAGTCATGTAGCTCCTTATGGGGAAAGAAATTCAAGCCCCAATGCCTCTGTCACATCTATCTGCTGTTTCTGTCCCTTCTTCCCGGTGCCTATTCCACCACCATTACAATCCAAGGCTGGGTTCCAGCCTAGTGCTGACAGGCGGCAGTCGGATAGGTGGGGGTTGGAATTCCACTCTGGGTAAGGAGTCGCAGGAGGCCGGGAGCGGCCGCAGGACAGGGATGCCCAGGCCTGGAGCCACGCCAGGCTCGTGCCCTCGCTTGTCGCTACCATCAAGTGGAGCTCATCGGTCCAGCCGCAGCCGGCTGGGCCTCAGCCCGACCACGGAGGCGGCCGCCGGACCCCTGCGGGGCTGCCGGGTCCGGATGCGGGTCCGGTGGGGGCGCGCTCAGCCCAGCCGCAGGTGGCGGCGGGAACCTCGCGCTGCCGCCACCCCGCCCGCGGCCCGGCCGCGCTTCCGCCCGCGTCAGCTGACTGCTGTGAGGAAGCGGCCCCGGCCCGGCCCCGAGCCCGCGGAAGCCCCGGCGCGTCCCCCTCGCAGCCATGGCAGGGGTCGTGGTGAGCGGAGCCCAAGTAAGTGTCTGCGTCCCGCGGAGCGCAGGGCCCCGGGCCACGGCGGTCCCACCTGCCCGGGGCAGCCCGCCTCGCCTGGGCGGCCCGCCGCCGGCACGGGTACCGGCTGACCCAACTTCCCGCCGGTTGGCCGGTGCTGGAGGAGGCTTCTGCGGGGTGGGGGGCAGCGGGTTCGCACGGGGCAGGGAAGTTTTACTTTCCCGCGCGCGCTGCTCAGGTATCGCCTCTCTCGCGAGCACGCAGACCCGAGGCCGCCGAAGGGAACGACGTGAGGAGCCGTCTCTGACCCCGACAGCGCCGGGGGGCGGTGCGGAGGGGGAAGAGGGCGGAGCGGCCCCCGGGGGTGTGCTCAGAGCGGCACGGGGTGGGAGGGTGTGAGTGGGGGTGCGTGGCCGTGCTTTGTCGTAACGGAGAGGTAGCGGAGCACCCGGGTACTTGTGGACGGTGTTACTGCTCTGCCGCTTCTCCTCCCGTGGCCAGCTCAAGTGCAACAGGAGTGTTCCTGAGGCTTGGCTGTAACAGCTCGCTGCCGTGCGACATCTCAGCTACCGGCGGAGTTCGACGTAGGGGTCGGTAGGCCGGGGAGCCTGTCGTACTCCGGTTGATTTAGGGCTCTGCCGCTCTCAGGCTTGAGTAGGCTGCAGGAATCGACTGAAAGACTGAAATATGTTATGTGTTGTTTCTGCTGAAAGTAAACACTGTCCGTTTCGTTTTGACTGAAGAGAGAAGTTGAGAAGCAAAACAAATCCTGGTGGCCTTTACCAAGATCCTTATTTGGCTACTGAAAAAGTTTCTGCCTAAAATTTGATGTAATTACTGCTGAAGCTGTGGCTACAACTAGCAAAATATTCCCTCCTCCTCCCCCCCCCCCCCCCCAATAATTAATTAATCTTGTTTTCTTTTTAAAAACGGTTTGTTATTAAAGCAGGGTGCTGCCTATCTAACTGCTTATTTAATCTGGTCACTATTTCTATGTGGAATTCAGGTAAATGTGTGTGTGATATGGAGGGGATTGGCTAAATTTGCAGTTGCTGCAGGATACTGTGTCACTGCATAGCACGCTGCCTTCTTCCCACCACTGTGCCTTGACCTCTTAATTTGGCTTTGTGACTAAAATACAATCTTCTAACAGCATATAGTAAAATGTAATGCTCAACTGACTGGAAATATTCTCCAGATGTAATTCCCTTCAGTGGAAGGGATTATGCAATATTGAGAGTTCCTACATGTCCTTTTTGGTGATGTTCTTTAATAAAGATCTTACTTTATGGGTTACTAAAATTATGTTATATATCATTATAAAATGATTGCAGAGTTTGCATGGTAATATCCTCTGAAATTAAAGCAAAAGAGAAGTGCAACTGCTATTGAGTGGTTAACTTTATATTTTAAATACTTTGTAGAAACTTGTTTTTTTTTCCTGAATTACATACAGTGTGTTCAAGAGTCTGCAAGAATGTCTGAGACATCCATAGCCTGATGCTGGGTTTTGTGGGAAACTCTCTGAACATTTTGGTGGGATATTGAGCAGGGCACCCATAATGATTGACTGTGACCAACCTGTCACAGATTAGAGTTGGAGAATTAGGTAATGGAAGCACCTGCATCCATTTTTTAATCCCGTGTGATGTTCTATGACTGGTATAGAAAAATCTAAGAAATGACTGTTACTGATGTGCCTGGCACCCAAAGAGCCAAGAAGTCTTGGGAAAAGCATTCTTGCTCTCATTTCTCAATGATGACATCTCTGGATATATACTTGAAAGCTCATACTCATTCTGAGGGTATTTGAGATGGAGGCAAAAGGAAGAATACTGAATTATGTACATTTTATTAATGTTCTGTGTAAGTTATTTTAAACTGAAAGAATAAAAATGAAGAAATGTTATTCTTCTGTACCATTGAAGTCTTGTTTTATATCAGATTGATGAAGGATTAAATAGAAGAGTGGGGAAATGACTCTTAAAAACTTGTTCAAAAAAGCTAATTGTGTATTGCACTGCTGTCAGTCGCTGCCAGTAAAGAGAGTTATTGTGTATCTGAAGCAATTTCATGTATGTGGATTGTAGAGATCTGAAGTTGAATGCACTTGGTGTATTTTGTGTAAAAGTAAATCTCTTTGTTTTAAATTTAAAAAGGTGCTTGTACTGTTAGTGTGCTGCAGTGGACTTTGTGGAAGTAAAATTCCTTTTACGAGGCCTCAGCATTAAAAGGTCATGTCAATGATATTTCGTCTGCAAATATGCCTGTGAATAATGTGTTTGTACCAGATGTGCAAATATATTTGTATATTGTAGCAGTTCAAAGGCTTTTGAACATTTTCTTTATTTTGCCTCTGTGTGCTTTAAAACACATTTATATGAGCTTTTTTTTTTCTTCAACCTCACTTCTTGTGGAGCTAGAACATTTATGGCCAGGTAAGTTTCTGAAACAGTGTGAATGCAAGTCAGTCTCTTGCTCCTTCTCCATCACTCCTGCCTGTGTGAAAGCTAGGTAGTGATCTGTTCTCTTGCTGAGTTTCTAGTTGCTCAAGATGGTCTTGCACTCATGGTGTTAACAGGCATCACATTATAGTAATTTGTATTTCAACGTGTTACATTGAACTAAAAGCATAATCTAAAGTATTATTCTTCTGTTTATGTGGTGTCTTTCCAAGGATTTGCAAGCATTAAAGAAACCTGTCATTCAGTGGAGAATGAAGAGATTCTTGTATGCATACCTGCATGTGTGTCATGAAGTGCATCGTAGGTGTCTTGGATGAAAACTGGAGGAACCCTCCCCCCATATTTATTTCAATAAATTCTGCAAACCAGTTTGTTATGTCCAAACCATTAGGATGTCAACTGCCCAGACTACTCACTTTTTCCACTTTGTCCTTATTTGTTAAAGTCGTGTCTGTTTTGTAGCAGAATTTATTGCAAGAATTTATTAACAAAGGGAAGAAGTTGTTAAACTGAGCTTCAAGCTACCTGTTTTCTGCTCATAAAAATTATTTCACTGTTGTCAGCTTTATCTGTTGAAGTTATTGAACAAAATGAATTAAATGGGATGCGATATAGTATTATCAGATTGCAGTAATTTTTAGAGTGTAAGAGTGGGATGACTTGCAAAAGTACATATTGTCAGTCTGTTGTGCAGAGGAGTCTCTATTTTAACAGAAATTGAAATACTATCAAAAATACGTTTGATTTTTTTTTTTTGTATATTTTTCAACTGACATCTTTTAGACCAATGGGATGTGGTCTTGGATTTGACTGTGTATTAAATATTTAGATAGTAATAATATCTTGCAAATAGTGGTCTAACACAGTGTTGAAATCTACTTAACTAGCAAGGTGCCATGTAAGGGCAACTAAGAATTCTTTAGCACAAAATCTGAAATGTCAGTATTTGTGCTGAGATTTTGAACATTGGGAGGATGAACCGATATAGATGTATTGAATTCGGCTTTGTGGGCATTCTTTGAAGAAATCACGCCAAAGACTTCTATGACAACACAGCAGAGAGAATAGAACAAGTTTAGTGTTTTAGTTGTAACACAGATGATTGTAGCAAAGGGAAATTGTGATAGGTTCTATAGCAATAAAACTGATGTGGCTTAAAGTTGTAATGAATATTTACAATACTGTGTGTTGTCATTGTCTCAATGAGACAGAATCTGGACAAAGAACTAAATAATCCACTTGTGTTTTCTTTTTACTTCCAATTCTCAGGTGTCCTATATTAGTCAAGACTGTGAAGAAATTCCAGAATTCCTAGGAAGAAAATATGGACATATGGCAAAAAGGCTAGATCTTAGCTTCAACTTGTTAAGGTATGTGGCAATATATAGATTTCCAAGTGCAGTATGGGACACCAACTCCAAATGCAGAATATGCATTTATTTATTTATTTATTTAAAAATTCAAAGTAGAAGCATACATGTATGTTTCATACATTTAGTAGTTGACAAGTGGGCAACCCTGTTTTATAGTCAATGTTTGTTTCCTTTTCTTGTGCATTTGGGACACAAATAACCAGGTGAGTCTGGAATTTTCTCATGTTAACATAAATGTCCGGTGAGGAGCCTATGGTTTATTGTCTGCTCAAAATGGAAAATAAGCATCATTACCCGAAGAAGTGAAGAATGGGATCAAAAGTGATTTGTTCTTAAACAAAATACAAGTAAGTGTGTGCTTCACTCCCTTCTTTTTATTTGTAGATCTCTGGTTATTACCATAAATAACCAGAGATTTGTAATAGTCTTTCCCCAGATGATGTGTTTTTGTTGTTGTGGTATGATTTTATTTTTGTGTAGTTAAGTCCTAAGTGCAGTTAGAATTTATTTTCATTATTTTAGTATATGGATTAAGAATGCTGTAGTATTCCCATTAGTTATTACAATATCCTTTTTCATTTAATCCTTGTGAAGAGAGAAGGTGCTAGTTTTTGGAGTAACTGCAGTCAACTTTTGATGTAGGATAGCTTGTTGTTTAAAAAGCATTCTAAGGCCAAAAAACAGATTTGGGGAGGGAGTTTTGTTGTTGTTTTGTGTTTATTTTTCTTTTTTAACTTAGGAAAGCTAATACTAAATATAATGAGAGCAGTAATGGTGGGTTTTTAATTTGAGCTGTGATATACTAAACATACAGAAACTGAGAATGAAGCATTTATTATACAGTAGCTGTTCAGACTGGTCTGCACTTATGTATGAACAATGCATATTATATAGACAGATCTAGAATAAATGTCATAGCCTTAAATGAATATGAGTATAGAAGTGGTGTCTTGGGCAGCTGTTGAAGCAAGTGTAAACAGTAGGATCATTGTCATTTTCTTTAAGCAAATATTATTGCTTAAAAAATCTGACAGTGCTTTAGTACAGTGATGAGGTTTATGATTTTCATCAGTGAATGTTTAATTTTAAAAGTTTAGTATGCTGTCTTCAGTGGGGGAACTTAGTGTCTACTCTTAAATGCCTACACTTTAATGTCTTTAAGAAGGAGTTTGGTTTTCTAGAAAAACCTGGTATGTGTTAGTAAAGGCATAAGTTGAGTGAAGAAGACCAAGGGTGATCAAAATATAGAGAAAGATAAAGAGAATATTGTGCTTTGCTGGCACAGTAGTTATATGCAGTAAACATGTTAGTTTTCATTATAATATGATTCATTATTTAATGTGAGTGTGAGTTCTTTTATAAGAAAAAAATATTTCAGTGGTCACTAATTTTTTAGCCTGTATTTAAGCCAGAGAAACGCTTAAATACTCAACAGTTGCCCCCTCTCAGCTTTAGGCAGTAAATAGGTGCTTACCAACCATTTTTAAAGTTGTTTTGCATATAATAGGGTGTCTGTGTCCTGTTCTCTACTGCTGAGTGTATTTTGGGAAGGAGTTATCCTTCTGTAGCAGGCAATAAATTCTGTTATGTAAAAAAAGTGCCAATTGAATTTCTGACCATATAACAATTACATTAAGAATTTAAGAAATTGAGCATAGAAAGAATTTTTTTTTTTGTTTGTTTTTGTATTTGCAGTCATGTTATTTGATATTGCTATCATGGGTACAGTTGCTTGGAGAAAAGCGAGATCTTTGTTGTAGTAACGTGTTCAGCTTTGGGGTCATTTGGCAGCAAACTGACAGTGGTGTCCTTTCTGAACCAGAAGTCATGTGCGGTTGTAGACTTGCAGCCTTTACTGTGCTCATACACACATGCTTATCCACATAAGAGACCCTTATCAGAAAGACGTATTTGTACTGCACGATACAGATGTCAGAAAACTTTCTTATGCAACTGATATAATGTAATACTTGGTTGAACAATTGCTCCAGTGAATCATACTGATTTTGATACCATCGTAATATAGGTAACTTCGTTTCAAAAGTCAGAATAGAGCCAGGTAAGTTATTTTGCCATTTAAGGCTTTCCATTTTTAAACAAGCCTCTGTATGTTTAGAGGCTTGTCCAGATACGCTCGAAAAAGTGTGGAAAGACGGGCTGATGCTGTTAGTAAAGTAGGAAAGAATTAGTCAAACATGCTGTATTTTGTGATTTGCATGCAACCAACTTTTGCCAAGCTTGTCCCTTAATCAGACTTTTAAAGAGATGCCATTGTGTTTTTCTGGGAAATTCAGTTTGTTATTTTGTACAAATGAAGGAGTTTCTTCCCCTGTGTGTTGTGAAGAAGATAGAGCCAAATTCTTGTCAGTTGTGGAATCTCCATCCTGGTGGGTGATACTCAAAGCACAAGTGGACAAAACCCCAAACAACCTAATCTAATTTTGAAGTCACCCTGCTCTGAGCAGGGGTTTGGTTAGATGACCTTTAGATGCCCCTTCCAGTGTAGAATATACTTTGATTCTGCAGCGTTATTGGTGTGGCCATCATAAAATGGACTGAGTTGTAACAGCTTTTTCGATTTGATACTGGTAGTGCTTTTCAGCTATTTTAGAAATGAGTTATTTACACCGAGTCTTTTCAGTAAGGCGTGTTTCAGGAGCAGAGATGTTTTGATTTGGAAATCTGCTCCCGAGTCTCTCGTGGCAACTGTATTTGATAGCCTTTTCTAATAATAGAGTGCTGTAAAGGCCACTATTTTGTTTCATAACATGTGGAAAACATTCCCTGGTTCCCACGTAGTGAAAGAGTAGAGTATGGGAAAGAAAGTCACTGATGGGGCAGTGTTAGGGTTATGGGAGACTTTGCTGAAAGAACAAAGGTAAATAATCATCACTGGTGAAGGAAAGAAAGGAATAAGTAAATAGGAAGGATGTAATGTAGGTAGGGAGTAGAGATTTGTATGAAGAACCAAAGATTTTTTTTTTTTTTTTTTTTGAATGCATCTTGCTGCCTTGTGGAGAGAAAAACCCACCTATTTAAAGGTTCTTTTATTTGTCCTAGTAACTTTCTTTGTGCCAAATTTCTTCTTTCACATTAAAGGCTAAATGCACTCCAGTGCTTGAATAACAGATGTCAGTGGTTTTGTACAAATAGGCGCTATGCTTTTATAAATATCTACAGTTTGATTCACAGAGAAGTCTATCTTCTGATTTTGCCCTCAGTAGTTTTAAACATGCGAGTTGTTTTTGTTTTTCTCACAGAGATTTCTTCTGGATCTAAGCTATGAAGGGAAAGGGAGAGTGACTCTTTAATCTTGGCCAATGAGGAAGGATTAATCCAATAATCGCGCTCATGGAGATACAAATATCTCTTCCCTCTCTCTAGGGTGCAGATTATTTCTGCTAGAGGCATGAATAATTTGCACAGTGTGTGCTTGTGCATATTTTCCACCGTCCCCTTAAGAGGGAGTATACATGAAAACATCCCGTTGAACTTTAATCCTAGTCTGGAATGATTCTCCATGATTTTTGTGAGGCTGAGGCTTTGTAGTATCCTCTCTGTAGACTAGAGATTGTTTGTATTTCCCTTCTGCCTACTGTTTTCTTGCCTGGGGGAATATGCAACTGGCAGCTTGAAACTGGTCTTCAGTTTTACAGGGCATGTTCTTCTTTGTGCTTGAGTATGTGAAAGAGAGGCCTTTTTATTTTATTTTCTTGCCACCTTCCTAGTGCATGCAGCAATAAGAACAGGAAGATGAACAACAAAAGGGAGATGGAAATAAAAGCCAGAATTCAAAACAAAGCATGACATATTTTTTAAAAGCCTTTCGATTGATCTTTATAACGTTTTAAAATGTTGAAGAAAATGCACTATTGTTAAAACTTTTTGATGGTTTTATTTATAAGGTAGAAAAATATTTTCACCATAATTGGGTAACTCTTAATCGTAGCAGTTGCATATTTATCAGTGTGAGGGGCTGTTATTAATGTGGCTGTCATGCACAAACACATTTCTGCATTAAATCCATTTAGTATGTGCATTATTCGGTCTAGAATGTCACCAGGACATCAAAGCCCCCTTAGGCATAAGAGCACAGTGCCCTGCTGTGGCTGCAGAAAGGGCTTGATCAATAAATGTAACATGTTAATGCAGAGCAAATAGAATAAAAGATTTCTTTGACAAGACATGAAAAATCACCTTGTGGCAGCTGGCATGGTGATGCCATTTCAGCGGAGACACTAGCAAAGTTGATCTGACAAGTAAAGAGGAGAGATGATGGTTATAAGGTGCTTTTGTTTCAAACTTCTTTCTTGACCTGTCAGGTTTTGAAGGAGCCTGAATGGCCCTTTTTTGTCATGTGAAAATTGTAGTCTTAGGCAGTTATGAAGCAGTTATCTCTTCTCAAATTGTGAATGCTGCTGTTTAATTGATTCACTTAGCATTTGAAACTGTCACGCATTAATAATTGCTAAATCCTGTAGATACTGCTCCAGTGTGTCATGCTTAAATATGTAGTTATCAGAAAATTAATATCCTTAATGAACCGATGCTTTCAAACTAGCATTGCATGAAATCTCTTTCGCCCTTTCATTTGCTGAAGGTATATCAGCCAGTTTTCAGAGAAACCCCTCCCGACAGTTATGTGGTTTTATTTATTTATTTTTTTGATGCCCGACAAATGCCAGCTTTGCTTTGGGTACATAGTGTGCTCAATGACAATAAATATAGTAATTATGCTGGAGTTAGTAATTAACATAATTATAGTCAATTACGACAAATACAGTGCAGAGCTAAATAAATGAGGGTGAGAAATTAGCAAGCTAATTGATTTACCTTACTTGCTGCTTTTTCTTGCAACTAGCAGTTGGAGATTTTCTGCAGGAGAAAGAGCATGGTTTACAAATAGCTGATTGTGTTTTGAAATGATTCTGTCTTATGGCTCTTACTCCTGTTTCTTTTACACTGAGGTGAAGAGGATTGAAATATGGGGTAGTGGT